CTGTCCAGAAAGGAATCTTTAGTAGGCATTTCCTCTCCAGCATGTGAAGATATAGCTTGTGTCCATACAGCTGTTTAATGGGTGTCTGAAATAGATGAGACCTCCTAAAGCAAATGTAAAAACTGAGTTATATTGCTATGCCAGCATCTCCATTAGGACTGAGAGTCTTATGATGGCCTTTCTCCTGGAGGTCAGATGCTTCTGTGGAGAGAGCCAGCCAGAGCTGCGGCCGAAGGGGGTGACAAGAGGAACTCAGTGACTGCTTTGCTGATGAACTGGGCCAGCAATTCATTTTGCAAGTCTCTTAAACTATCATAAGAATTTACAGGAACTCATTATACAATAAATTGTAGATATAAAATAGCAGGTGGTACACCTTACAAGCAGTACGCATTAAAATCCATCTTGACAAGACCAGGAAAAGAGCCCCCAGACCTGTCTTCAGTGAGCAACTACAAAGGAACTAAGTTGTGGTTAGGAGAAGTGGAGTGTTAATGACAGGTCTATGCCAGTTAACACGACAAAATGCCTCAAATGCCTTTAGCAGAAATTGTCATCAGAACAGTTTCTTTCCCTGCTAGTTATAAAATCAGGTATTAGAGACACCACTTGTAAAACCCAGACACCTTATATTTTCATCAAATGTAGCAATTGTCTCTGTCTCTGAGGTTCTTGAAACAAAACTCCCTTGGGGTCCTAGCTGGTCTTCTGTATGCAAGCTGTGAAAATATTGACATACTCATTTTATCCTTTGCTTTCCTTGTCCTTCTCTGTTTCCTTTCTTTAATCGTTCCTTACTGGCAGCCACTAATACACTACTTCTGCGCCAAGAGGATGAGGAAACTGTTTCCTCTCAAACCAAGTGTGCTGACACTGCTAACCTTGATTTCCATAAGTGATTGAACAGTGTCTCCTGTCTGCTGCATATTTCAGGCTCCAGTTACCCAAGATTCTTGGATGCTGAGAGGGCTTTTCATCTTCCCCATTTCCTCCTCACAGTCAGAACCAAGCCAGGCTTTTGCCTCCTCTACCTTCATGTCTGTGAGCTGCTCAGACTGGCAGTAGCAACCTCAAGATGCTTTTCCCCACAAATCGATTTCTCTCAACTTGAAGAGTTTTAAAAATTTCTTTTCACCTACTGAAAAATTTGATGTGGATGTTTGATTCTCAAGTTGAGGCAACATCTACTGCAGTCCTTTCTGAATTTCAGGGCCACATCTGCAGCCAGGGTAAGCTGCTGACTTGTGCTGATGGTCAGCAATTTCCAGCAGCCATAAGCTGGCCTCTCAATGACCTCCTTTAGTTGCAGTGCTTTAAAGACATTCGCTGTCGGCATCAACACCAGATGAAATTCAGATACATTTGACCTTCATTCCGTAGCACTTTAGAAACTGAAAAATAATAAACGTGTAGTGAATTCTGCCCTCCAGATACCAGATTATTTTTCTTTGCATGCCTTTGAAAAATGTTTATCTTATTGTAAGCCTCTGCTGCTGGGGGAAGGCATGGGGCACATGGAAAGTAGGAGGGAGTGTGAAAGGAGGAATGTGGAAAGGTTTGGTGCTGATGGAGCGGATCCATTTGCAGCATTGTTGGGCAAAGCACTAAATGCTTAAAAGTAATTTGTGGCAGTTTAGGCTTTTATCATCGCATGCATGTTGCTCTGGGGGTATATGTGGCAGAAGACAAGCTCCCAGAGTGAAGAGTTTATAATCCTAAATATGTGTTTCTGCAGGCAGCTCAGTGAAGCTGATAGGTCTCTGCAAGGCACAGTCAGGGCCTCTGGTGGATGGGCTGACCCCTCAGGATAATAGCTCCTCTCTGAAGGGAACAAGTGGAATTGCTTAGGAAAAGTATGCAGTTAGTCTTTACGATTTTCATGGCAGATAACTGTGCAGAACAGGTGTGTTGTTGGGTAGGTCATACAGGAATCTTTGAACACGCCCAGTGAAAGAGAGGGAAGCAGTTCCTTTAAAAGACATATTTGTATGAACCTACCAATCCAGTTGGTTTTGAATGTTTGATAAGAGGATAAGCAGGAGTAGGTGCACATTAGCAAAGAATAGTTAGAAATAGCTTGTGCATGAAAGAGACCCTCAGCCCTCCGCCATTGGGGGGTGTGTGTGTATGCACATTGTGTTTTTTCTATCAGTTTTTACGGATAGATGTCAAAGTGTTCACCAAAAAAAAAGGAAATGCAATCCCTAATATACATAGCAGAGGAAGTAGGATGCAGTTGGTGACATGCTTGATCCACAGGCAAATGGCAGAGCCAAAATAAACAGGTTTCCTTGACCATTTGGTGTCAAGTCACAGTGCATCCAGCCTAGGGCTGTCCAGACCTGTTAGTCTTCCTTAACAGAGAATCCGTACACTGTGCTTCAGTGAAAGGAAATGTGTGCTAAATGCACCTACCAGCCTGTATTTGTGAACAAGACTGAGTTTTCTTCATTGTGATAAGGTTGCATATCCTGACATAGGTTTCCACATCCAAGATTAAAGGGTCTGTTAATGATAGGTTTCCATTAGGAGTGACAAAACAACTCGTTTGTTTTGTGCCCTGTCCTTTGTGAAAGGTGGTGCTTAGAGCAGCCAAGGCACAATCTCCTGCTGTTCTGGCTCCAGAGCATCAACAAACCAGCATGTCCCTTCACTGGAGCACAGAGCCCTTCTAAAGACACTGCTAGTTTCAGTAAATTCCTTATTGGGATGGGTTTTCCAGGGGTTTCTGTCTCAAGCAAGAGGGTTTGGGAGAAAAACAAACAAAAAGAAACCCTTTCTAACAGACTCTGCCCGGTGATTATTAGATGCTTGCAGGAAGTGGAAAACCCTGTTGATATATGCAGTGCCAGGTTCTGACCAGGCACTTAAATGTTAACTTCTTGCTTTTTAGATAACTGCCCTGAATGGAGCTGTGGGTGCCTCTGTGTGGGCAGGTGTCTCTTCTGTTTCCTAGGGGAAGAACCTTTGAAACAAATCATTTTCTTCTCGGTCAGCAAGAGGTGAAAATGCTGATTACAACCTGTCTCCAGGAAAGTCCTGGGGCAGTATAAAACTGCTGCCCACTTCTGGCATCTGTATTTTGATTGTCTGGTATTTTTGGTATTCTGCTGCTGATTAATATCACATTTATTGCAGCTGACCTTTAGCAGAGAGGTGATTGAGATTTCAGTTCAGGCTAGTAGAACACATGCTCAGTGGTGGCAGAATAGACAATGAAAGTGCAAAGCACAGTTTGATTTTGGTAAAAATGCCATCTGACCATCTGGAATAGGTGTTGCAGGCGTGTCCACCCTTCTGTTAATGTCCCTGTTGAATGCCTCTGTTCCCTTTGTTTGCCCCTCCCAAGAGGAGTGCTTCCACCTCCTCTGGTTGTGGCTGCCTGGCATTGTACTGCACCAGTGACACATCGGAGGGTTGTTGGGACACCGTGTGCCCAGCACTCGGCTCTCAGGAACATCGATCTTTCTGCTGAGCCATAGAAAATTTAATTAGCTCATTTTAACATTCCTCTTCGTCCTGCGGGTGGATAGAATTGATGCTGGCTGGAGCCTCGTTTCCACATAGCTCGTTTACTGTAACTAATTATTGCTTGTAATTGAATGGTATACTCTGCTGACAGCCTCTGCACTAAGGTGGAGCAGTCACTTTTCATTTATTTGCTGTCAGAACCATCTGAAACCTTCCCCCTCAGGGCAGCAAAATCTTTCAGTTCTTGCTGGATGTTAACTGGACAAACTGGTGGAAAGCTATAGTTAGCACAGCCTCATGCCAGTGTCATGCTGGAGGCAAGGAGACTAATTCAGAGTGAGTCCAGGAAACAGGAAAAGCCTGAACAGCACTTTGGCTTAAGGTTAGTCCCCTTTGTGTGTATGCGTTATGATTCCCTCTATTTGCATACTTGCATCCTACTTTTTATCATTAGTACTGTCCTTCTTTTTAACTTGGTTCAGTCATGTATTTCTCACTCCTCTAGTTCCTGGGAATGCCCAGCCTGTTCTTGCTGAAGCTTTAAAACAACCAACTCCCAAAAGAAAGTATTAGCTTGAGTAAGATATCATTTATTGGGATTTAATTCTGAACAATTAAAATCATCAAAATTACAAGTGTCTTGGACCTGAGAAGCTGCAGCCTTAAATATAGGTGATAGCTGTCCCTGTAATACCTGGGGGGTACTCAAGGACATACGTGGCAAGGAGGCCCCTTTCTCCTTGAAAGTGTCTCCCCTTCAGTGTCTTGTCTGCTACTTGCATCTCTAATGTTTTCCCCAGTGTGCTCTGACCAAAAACTTAGCATAAGGAGAGAGGATGTATAGCAGGGCATACAGAGGCTATTTCAGCAAGCTAACTACATTTAGTGCCCAGGCATTTCTCTGTGATTAAAAAGGGTCACAAACATCTGTGGTAACCTTTGCTATTTTTCCCAGGTAAAGTGGAGAGAACTTAAGACCCTGTACTACAAGTTAGGCAAGAAAAACAGTTTTAAGAAGAAATTGGAGTAGTTCCCTGCCTTTATATCTTCAGCTGCTTTGAAGTGTTATACTGGGAAGCCTGGGGTGGGTGGTTCTTACTCTTTTTCCATTACTTTCTGTGCATCTTTGCAACCCCTTTCCTGGTTCTTTCTTGGGATTCCCCTGCAGTAGAGACTGTGCATGTAGCAACCCTGACAGTTCTCCTAGTGGAGGGAGTCTGGCTGGAATTGTGCTGTGCTCTATTTGCCTACTCTGATGGATAGGTTTTTAGAGCCATTGCCAGCATTTTTTAGGGCAGGCCTAGGGATTAAGCAGCTCCTTGGTGGTCCCAAAGCAGGTGGAACATAACAGAGGATCTGAATGAATGTGTCTCAAGTGAGCCTTGGGAAATAAAGCTGAGAGGAAAAGGCTTGGGCAGAAGTGTACATGTAAGATGTAAGGGCATCTTATAGTGTTTTTAGTGTTGAATTTATGCTAAATTCACTGCATAAAGACTAAATAGAGTGTGTATTTTTCTATTTCTTCATAGGAACAGAGAGTTTCCATTGTTTAACAACCAGACACAACATCCTACCATCTGCTTAAACAGGTATGACCTTTTAACTTGTTAGCATAGTTTCCCAAGGAGGCTGCTTCAACAGATGGAGGAGGCTTGAGAAAATTCCTCTAGCTCCTGGAATACTTCATTTTTCTTGGGTTGGTTTCTGCTTTTGTAATATGCCTTGGGTTATACTTTAAAAGCCTCCTGTGTCTGATGGGAGTCACTGTACCCATTGTCCAAGCAACTGTCTTGCTTTTGGCTAAGCAAGAACCTGCTTACAGGCCTGGGTGGAAAGGGCCTAAGCTGTGTGAGTCTATAAGATGGTGTTGATACAAGAGCATCTGAGAGAGATGACAATGCTGCTGCACACTGCTGCACACTGCTCTGGTTTGTCTCCTGCCACTGCACTGAGTCGTACCACAGGAAATATGAGAGTGGTGTGGCAGAGTAATCACATGCATAATATTACCACATCTCCAGAATCGAAAATCACTGGGTTAGATCAAAAAAATGCACTTTTTCTCCTTTTTGGGCAAGAGGAAACATTCAGGAGGCTCCTATCTCAGAAGACTGTGTTAGAGAGAACATGTGCTGCCTGTGTAATGTAGATAAGCAGATACTGGTTTTGTCAGCATTTCTGTATGTAAACGTATTCATTTCAGTTTGATTTACAAGAGAACGTAGTTTCTGCTCTCACAAGCATGAGTTTGAAATGCCAAAGACAGACTTCAGCAAATGGGAATGGAGTTTGACTGAAAATCTACATGTGAAGTGTAAGGGAGAAATGTGGTGTGAGCCCGAGCTTCTGCTGGTGTAACTTCACTTAGGCAGGGCAGGGGGAAATATTTCCACTCTTCTGGGGTGGTGTGTTTGCTCTGGCCTTGCATCACAAGCAAAACAAGAGGGTTTCAGTGAGCACAGGAGTTGCCTGCAGAAGTTTGTGTAAGGGATAACAGCATTGTGGTCCCCTCCCCAGGATCTCAGCTCAACAAGCTAGAAGAGGCTCAGACTCTGCATTGTTTAAAGAGTAGCATGAACAAATACACATGCATAAGAATTTTATTCAGCTGATATAAGTTACGACCTTTATGTTGTCACTAATAAAAAGGAAGGTGCTAGATTATGCCAGTTTAGGACATATTTCTTCTGTGAGGTTAAACTTACACTGTGAGCAAAATCAATCTCCCCTATTCTCCTCAAGTAGTCTGTGCCATACTTCTGAGGCTGCCAGGATACTTAATGATGAAAAAATATAAGGATCAAGCACAGGTGTAAAGGAAGGGAAGCTGATACTACAGGATGAAGAAAGGTACTACTATATGCTCTGGGATCTGTGTGGACATGCACATATGCATTTTTGTGTGTATGTATTGAGTACAAGGCTGGTTTTGGACTTCTTGAGCTTTTATAAGCCTATAAATGTATGAATTTCCTGACCAGCCCCTAGTTTACTTCTGCGTGAAATCTCTCCTGGATGTATGAATTTGAAGGAAATGAAAACTGAAGGTCAAATTTGGCTCTCTAGGTTTGTAGGCTGTAAAAAGCAGGCACACAACTACCAGGCAGTTTACTTTTCATCCGTGACCTTTTCTCTCTCACAAGCTGTGACAGCAGAGCCCTGCCATGTGGAGGCACATAAAGGTTGTGTCTGCCAGCCTCTCCTGTCCCTGAGACACCTGCCACTGGCAGGAGGTTTAAGATGCCTCTCATTGTTTCCCAAAATTTCGGTGCTACTCCTTCTCTTGGAAGCCAAGCAGTTTGGGAAGGACCCCTTCACCTCCTGGGCTGTGAACTGCGGGAGGGCCTGAGCCACCATGGCCCTGGCATTGGCTCCCTGGGGGCACATAAAACACCCAGCGTGCCTGCAGGCTGGCTCCCTGCCAGCATCTGTCAGGGAGCAGGGCACCATAAGGCTGCTTACAGTGATCCTACAAGCTTCAGGAATTTTCCCATGGCCCCGGAATACCCTTGCAGCAGCGTGCGAGTACTAAATGAAGGATTAAATTAGCTTGTAAGGCTTAAAGTAACAGGCAGTTTTATTGCATTCGCTGTCTTGCTGTTGCTAATATTCCACTGTTGATAAAATAAATTCTCAGATGTCTGCTGTGCAAGGCTTAAATTGTCTCTGCAGGTCCCACAGGCCTAAATTACTGCTCTTGAAATAAAGAATGTGTCCATGGAGTGCCCCATAGCCTCTTGATACTGGTGAGATGCCACAGGCAGTTTAAAAAGTGGGTGAGTCCGAAATGAAAAGAGGGAGAAACAATCACACATCAGAACTAGTGTTTTCTGCACAAGGTCACTGCATTGGTGGTTAGGAGATAAAACCTAAGCATAACGTCTTGTGAGTATTGCTGTCTCTCCTGTGTCCCTTTGTCTCTGGGTGACTAACAGTGAGAATTAACCGTGGAAATAATATGCCACAGGTGGGCACAGGGAATGTTGTGATACAGGATGTGGGGGCTCAGGAAGAGGAGACTGTTTTGTTGACCCCTTGCATCCCCCAAGACTGGGGTGTTGGATGGGGAGGAGGAGTAACAGAACCAACAAGGTGTCACAGAGGGCTACAGGGATGGGTGATAAAGCTCGTGTCCCTCTGAGCTGTGGTGTCAGTACAGCCTGTTTGCAGCATTTGTTGCTGAAGGCTCAGCTTTGGAAGTGTTATGGAATTCTCTGCTAGTGTAGTTTTGCATCTAATGCTTCTGGAGCAGCTGTAGTGACTCCACATTGACCACTGGGCCTGTCATTCCCTGTGTGTTGTGAACAAACTCAGTATCTCCTTCTGGCGTGAGCTTTTCACTGTGCTGTCTCTCTGTGTGGGTCTGTGAAGGGACCCCAAAACGGGAAGGCACCGAGACAATTCGCTCATCTGGGGCTGTTTCTAAGCAGGAGGGGAGGACTCTTAACACCCTCCAGAGGCTCAGTCACACTGAGATTCCGAATAATTTTGAGTAGCCTTTTGAATATAAGCGTTAATTGCACTTTTTTTTTCTGCTGTGAACCTACTGATGCTCAGAAGGAGAGGTACATAGATGGGGAGGCAGCTTGGCAGCAGACATCCTAAGCAGAGCCTTGAGGACAGCACTCAGGGAGCAGGTTTGTGTGTCAATACTTTGTTCGATTAGGCTGGAGCCTCTTTGGACACACGTGCATCTTAGATGAATTTCACAGAGAGCTAATTGCACTTTAAATGACTGCACTTTAAGCACACCATAGCTTGTATTTCAGACTTAGAAATTTCCCTCACCAGTGGTTGAAAGTTAACACTGCACAGAAAGATGTCAGTGAGCAATGATTAAGAGAGTTTTTAGGAAAGGGGATATGAATTGATAGTCATTAGAAGGGTTTCTTGTAGTATCTGCAGAAGTAGTTTTGGCTTAATTTCTGAAGAATCAAAAGTTCTGGAGATGTTGTTCTCCTTTTTCATTTTGCTTACTTAGGGTTTTTGGTTTTTTTGTCAGTGATCTTTGTAGCACTAGGGGAAGATTATAAGTGGGCAGAGTGCAAGGTATAGCTTAGTGTTGTTATTGGCATTGTCTTTCCCATGCAGCTGGCTTGATTGTCTCCTGCTTTGCATTGAGAGAGCTGCAAGGAGGCCCCACCTGGGTGGTTCTGACACAGGGCTGAAGGAGACTCTTAGCACATTTCCTGTCACACCCAGTGTGGCATCCAATCCTCCTTCATCAACCTTCCTCTTAAAACTAGTTTCCTGCCAACCAGTAGGTTGTTCTGCAGTCTCACCTGCAAGAAACCTTCAGCTTCCAGCTAAAACTTAAAATGGCCACGGGGTCCTTGTACCAAACTAGCTTTTGGTTTTTCCACCTTTGTGTTTATCACTTAGCATCAATCTGTCTCCTTCCTCCTTTGAAAGGAGGGCTGTCATCAATTTTATAATCAACTTGTCTCTTCTCTCCTTTCTTCTGGTCATCTTAATAGCCGTTATCTGCACCTTCATTCATTTGTAAACACCTGTTTTGAAACAAGCAATTTTGAGCACGGCACTCCTTGTATTTGTCAGCTATCAAAGGTAGAATTTGCTACATTTTGAAAGGATTCAGACATGATTGTTAAGCAATGGAAAGGAAGGAGAATGTCCCCTGTCACAATCAAATCATAATTGTGATGGTGGTGTTAGTAATACTCTTATATAGCAGGCTGAGTCACTAATAAATACTTAAAAGTTGTTTACAGCTGAGGAGCAAAACTGTTCAGGCAGGAATTGACAGGCAGAGGTTACTTGAGTTGCTGCAGCTTTTTAGTAAACCTCCTCTCAGCTCCTTGGATGCAAGAGATGGGCCAGAGAGACCAGGAGGGGAGAGGAAGAGGGAAATGTCGTGCTTCCTTTTCCCTCTGTCTTGATGAGCAAAGGAGTTTAGTTTTGAGGAAGAGATTGGTAAGGAAGGGAGACAGGAGTGTTCTGTGTGTTGCAGCTTGTGCTTGATACCTTTATCAGGATCAGCAGCCAACCCTGATGCTCAGCTTTTCCATTTCTGTGCAGTACTTAAGTGGCTTTATAGAGGGGCAAAATTAAGCAAGGTGAAGGTGAGTTGTTGAGCTGGATTTTGGTTTTGTGAACACTTACTGCAATTGCTTCTTCTCCGTCAGTCAACATAATCCTTCCTGTAGCTCAAGAACCAGTCTGGTGTGCTCATGTTGAATTCTCATAACTGTGAGTTTTTCCCCCTGGATGATGTGGAGGGTAAGAAGACTCAACACCATGGAGTAGAAGCTCAGCTCTCCTAAAGGCAGTTGAATTTTTGCCATGGACATCCTTTTGAAAACCTCCCTCTCCAGAACTTCCCCATGAAGTATCTGGTTCTGGCTGGTGTCAGGATGGGGATACAGCACACAGAGATGTGCTTTTGCCTCAGCACTGAGAGGGGCTGGAAGTCAGTGCTGCCTGTGAAGCACTCGAGGAAAAAACTATTCCATTCCCACTTAATAATTGTAAATGGCTTTGTCGTGGGAGTCACTGAGTGCATCGCAACGCCTGCATGGAGAGCTAGTGAACCTGATACTCGGGAATGCTGTGAGTATTCTCCATGAGG